TCAGCAGGCATGTAGATCCTGTCAGCCTTATCTCAGGCAGCGCTCCAGGTGCTCTGACTTTTCCTGTCTGGATTATTCCGGATTATTCCTTCTGCCTTCACAGTTTTTTTCCAGCAGGTGTCCATCAGACTGATGTCTTCTTAAAGACTGTTTCTGCATTTCATCAAACTCTGATTTGCAGCAGTTCTTCCTAATTTCTGACCTTCGTTTGAAGCTGGTTTGATTAAATCCACTTTATGATCCGACCTCCTGATTGTTGCAGAAACGATTCAATCTTTGCTCTTTCCAGTTTTTCCAGCAGAACTCTGACAGGACAGATAAATGTTGGTCCAACCAATCAGCCTTCATGTTTACATTTCTGCTCAGCTGTTTTTTCCCTACATGGACAGAAACCTCCCTGCCATTATGTTCTGACTCTGCATGCCCAGTTTGTCTTCGGTGCATCTCCCTCCTTCTCTCACTGAGGTTTTTCTAGAAATCTCTGAGGTCAATCTGTGATCCTATCTGTCCTGCACGCCCCCCCCCCCCCCTTCTGTAAAGAAAGTGGGTGCGGGTGGTGGTGGGGTGTCTATTCCTGGTTTTATCCCTTAAGTTCCTCTCCATCTGTTGGTCTGAGCAGCTAAAGTCAGATACTCACAGTGATGGTGGATTCTCAGACGCAGAAGGAAACGTCCTTTTCAGCCTCCTCTCCCGTCACCTTCTGACACTGAGCAGGAATCAACTGGTGGGCGGGCGACAGGGCTGTATGAAAGGAAGAGGGAGGGAGGCTGGGAGAGGGATGGAGCTTAGACCGGGGGGGGGTTTGGCAAACAAACAACAGAGAACATGTGAGCTGACTGGCAAACCAGAGAAGGAGCTTAATTTGACAGCAGAACGGAACCAGAACCAGGACAGACTTTCATCTCCCTCCTCCTCCTTCCACCCATGGCGCTGGAACACGGGGTCAGGGGGGGGGATAAAAAGATATGTTCCTCCCAGCACCTCCATTAGGCTGACTGGCAGAGAGCTGCCGTTATCTCGCCAAGGCAGCCAGCAGAGGTTAAATAAGGACATACCCCCCCCCCCCCAAAAAAAACAGGTCAAACATCAAACAGCTGCTGGTTCTACTGGCCAATAACTCCCAGTGACTCTGGACAGGAAAACAAACCAACTTTTATGTTAGAATGAAAAAT